CACCCTCCCTGCGCAGAAGACTTCCGTGCAGGGAAAGTAGGAGGAGACTTGGCGTCAAACAACTTTTATGCTGGAAAAGGTTCAAGAAACTCCCACTGACGGATTCTGCCAGCGACTGAGACAGTCACGATGCTGGAGGCTGTTCAGTCAGAAAGGGTTTAACCAGATAACCTCGCCAGCAGTGGCGGCAACTTACGCACGAGCAACCCCTAAATCCATTACACTCTGGTTAAGAACTTAATTCGTTCTGGAGGTCCGTTCTTAACCTGAAACTGTTCTTAACCTGAAGCACCATTTTAGCTAATGGGGCCTCCTACTGCCGCTGCGCCGCCAGAGCACGATTTCTGTTCTCATCCTGAAGCAAAGTTCTTAACCTGAGGTACTACTTCTGGGTTAGCGGAGTCTGTAACCTGAAGCGTCTGTAACCCGAGGTACCACTGTAGTTCAAGGACTGCCTCTCTCCATATGAACTGACCTGGATGCTGTGATCATCACCTGAGGCACTTCTTCAGGTGTCCCCATCACAAGAAACCTGAAGGCCTTTTCTGCCCCCATCACAAGAACAGGCCTTTTCTGCGGTGGCTCTCTATTTGTGGAATGGTCTCCCCAGGGAAGCTCACGTTGGCAACAGAAATAAACATGGAGGCTCCTCTTCATAAGCACACACACAACCTGAAGACTTTGGAAGTGAGCAAAAAAAGAAAAAGAAAATGGATCTCCACTCCACCCCCTCCAGGAGTTTCTCTACAAACAATGAAAAACAGCATCACCAAGCCCCTGTATCAGATTCACTGGTCCAGCAAGCTCATGAGCCTAGGAAGTGACAGAACTATGCTTTCTTTTTTTAATTTTTGCCAAAGGGTGTTTAAGGAGATGACCCCATAGTCGCCCTTGACTGGACTTAACCGTCCAGGGGTCCTTTACCTTTTACCTTTAGTCCCTGCAATCTATGGCAAATGTATGCTAGTTCTGGGCCCCATGTAATCAGCCCGCCATGCCTGAGTTTGCACATTTTAAATGAAATGCACCATGTGCCATATATTTGGGAAGTTGCCTCATTTCATTCACATTTTCGCAAATGTTGAAAAGTGCCTCTTTTTATCCGCATTCACAGCAAGCATTCTCAGGTTGCAACATTTTCCCTCTGTCGATGGCTACTAGCTCAACTATGCTCTGTCTCCACAATTGGAGACTTCTGAATACCAGTTTCTGGAAACCACAGAAGGGGAAAAGATTCTTGTGCTCATGTTCTGCTCCCTAGTTTCCCACAGGCAACCAGAGGTAGTTTTAAGGAGATGACAGAAATCACTGGCTTAAAGCTGACCAAAAGTCCAGAGGTAACATTATTATCAATTTAAGATGGGATAGAAAGTTCACAGTCTATGAAGGACTTGCTCACAAATTTATTGACAGCTGTACAAATTATGATAGCTAGGAAGTGGAAGGGGCAAGCAGAATCTAAAATGGAAGAATGGTATAAAGACTTGTGCAATATAGCTATTAATGGTGAATTAACATGCGCTATTAAGGTAAGACGGGGAATATGCAGGAGAAATTATTTTGAGGAGATATGGAGGGTGTTTGTAGAATTTGTATTGTTAAAACAGAAAGGGGCCAAACCATTGCAAGAGATGTTGAAATTTTGGGGGGTTGGGTAGTTACAATGGAATGATTTTGGTGGTGTGGTGCACATTTTTATTCTTATTTATTTATGATTATTACTTTGTCAAAATGATAAAAAGGGGGGAGGGGGAAATAACTATGCTTTATTTATTCAAAAGACTTATAGCCTGCTTTTCATTAATATACTGTGGTACCTCGGGTTACATACGCTTCAGGTTACATACGCTTCAGCTTACAGACTCCACTAACCCAGAAATAGTACCTCAGGTTAAGAACTTTGCTTCAGGATGAGAACAGAAACTGTGCTCCGGCGGCACGGCGGCAGCAGGAGGCCCCATTAGCTAAAGTGGTGCTTCAGGTTAAGAAGAATTTCAGGTTAAGTACGGACCTCTGGAACGAATTAAGTACTTAACCTGAGGTACCACTGTAACCCCAGAGTGGGGTGCAATATAAGAAATAAAATACGTAATAAACTACTCAAGTCACAAATTTCCAGTAAGGCAGTGAGGCCCATCTCCACCAACAGGCAAATTGAGCTTAACTGGCCCAAACAGATGAAGGACCTAGGGGTGGGGAACATATGGCTACCCAGGTATTGCTAGACTACAAATCCCAGCACCCCTGCAGCTGATGGGAGTTGAAGTTTGCAATATCCAGAAGGTGCAATCCTACTTTATTTCCCTTTCCAGTTCCTTGGTCCCAGGGAAAACCCTGAGCTAACCAGCCTGAGGAAGCAGCCTGTGAAATGTTCTCCCCCTACCCTCACCTAAGCTAATAAAACATTATCTTTTTGAGAAGGTATTAATATACCTAGTCACAAGCTTAGTCATTAAGAAAGATTTCCTTGTTTTAGACACTGATTAACACAAAGAACTGTGTCACGCTGACATTGAGGAATTCACCGTGCTTCAAAGAGACCCCTGTTGCTTTGACATTCATTGAGCAATGTCTCATACATTTCCACTGAGGAATTATTATGGGAGATGTAAAGTTATAGCTCAAAGTGACAGAAGCAAGAATATCTCTGCCCTCTTTTACAGCGCTATTGTCTAAGAGCATATGTGAGCACAGGTAACTATCCTTGCTAGAAGTGGATGCAAAGCAAAAGTCAATCGCTCCTAGTACGAAAAGTTTTCCTTCTTCCTTTTAAAATGTGAACAGTTTTATTATTATTATTATTATTATTACTACTACCAGTTCAAAAGTTACACGCCCAGTTTGTAAAGCTCTCCTATGGAGATTTGATGAAGGCTGCACTTTTATTTTTTTTAAATTCTGGTGCTGGAGGAGACTCTTGAGAATCCCATGGACTGCAAGAAGATCAAACCTATCCATTCTGAAGGAAATCAGCCCTGAGTGCTCACTGGAAGGACAGATCGTGAAGCTGTAGCTCCAATACTTTGGCCACCTCATGAGAAGAGAAGATTCATTGGAAAAGACCCTGATGTTGGGACCCCATGGACCAGAGCACGCCAGGCACTCCTGTCTTCCACTGCCTCCCACAGTTTGGTCAAACTCATGCTGGTAGCTTCGATAACACTATCCAACCACCTCGTCCTCTGTCGTCCCCTTCTCCTTGTGCCCTCCATCTTTCCCAACATCAGGGTCTTTTCCAGGGAGTCTTCTCTTCTCATGAGGTGGCCAAAGTATTGGCGCCTCAGCTTCATGATCTGTTCTTCCAGTGAGCACTCAGGGCTGATTTCCTTCAGAATGGATAGGTTTGATCTTCTTGCAGTCCATGGGACTCTCAAGAGTCTCCTCCAGCACCATAATTCAAAAGCATCAATTCTTCAGCGATCAGCCTTCTTTATGGTCCAGCTTTCACTTCCAGGGTGATATTAACAAGGAACAAACAGAGAATGACTGAGAAGTTGGCAAAACCCCACCTAGAAGATAAATGTGAGTGTTTAAACTGAAGTTTATGTGGACATCTCAGCAACAAGAGCTTAGAGGCTCACAGTACAACACAATTTTCTCCTTTAAATTCTAGGTCACCCTTCTGCTTATGCTTTCACTGACTCCAGAAATGGATTTCCCCTTAACACCTGGCCTCCTATTTCCATGTGTGCTAATCCTTTGCAGGTGTTTATAAGTAGCTTTCAAGTTGCAATGCAGTCATGTTTTCCCTAGGTTCGGCAAATTCATCCTCAATACCAGGGAAATTTCCACCTATTCTCCTGTCATTGGAACTATTTTCTAACTTAGTAAAATCTTTTTTTAATGTGATGAAGCCCCCCAAATAACAGTGACCTCTGTGTAACAATATGAAAGAATAATTAGGCACAGCCAGTGTGGTTTGTGCTTCCTGGGAGAAACTAGGAAATAGTTAAAGGCAAGGTACACTCCTTCTGGCCTGAGGAGAGGGAGGACATAGGCTGAGAAAGCTTCGTAAAACATTTATGCAATAAAACTTAAAGCTTTGCAGAAAGAGAGGGAGAAACCAGATGTAATGACAACAGTGGACATTACGGAACAATATAAATAGGGAGAGGGGGAAGAAACACAAGACAAAAAGAGAGCTACCCAGCTTATGGGAAGAAATGCCACAACTGTGACAGACATAAGTGCTTTGCATTCAAAACAGAAAAAGCTCAAACCTAGAGATCACACCGAGAATATGGAGAGTGGTAATGAATGCGGAGGTATTCTGTGGGTAACATATCACATAGGAGACGGGCTGGTGTGGAGGACTCCTTGGTCCTGAATGGGGTAACTGTGCCCCTGAAAGAGCAGGTGTTGCAGCCTGGGAGTCATTTTCGACTCACAGCTGTCCATGAAGGTGCAGGTCAATTCTGTATCCAGGGCAGCTGTCTATCAGCTCCATCTGGCACGCAGGCTGAGACCCTACCTGCCCGCAGACTGTCTTCCCAGAGTGGTGCATGCTCTGGTTATCTCCCGCTTGGACTACTGCAATGTGCTCTATGTAGGGCTACCTTTGAAGGTGAACCAGAAACTACAACTAATCCAGAATGTGGCAGCTAGACTGGTGGCTGGGAGTGGCCAACGAGACCACATAACACCGGTCCTGAAAGACCTACATTGGCTCCCAGTCCAGCTCCTAGGGCCTTCTGGCAGTTCCCTCACTGCGAGAAGTGAGGTTACAAGGAATCAGTCAGAGGTCCTTCTTGGTAGTAGCACCCACCATGTGGAATGCCCTCCCATCAGATGTCAAGGAAATAAACAACTATCTAACTTTTAGAAGACATCTGAAGGCAGCCCTGTTTAGGGAAGTTTCTAATGTTTGATGTTTTATTCTGTTTTTAATATTCTGTTGGGAGCCACCCAGAGTGGCTGGAGAAACCCAGCCAGATGAGCGGGGTATAAGTATTATTATTATTATTATTATTATTATTATTATTATTCTATAGGGAAAACCAATGGCACCAGAAACCCTGCTAGGCCTTAAGGCAGCCCTGGCTATGAACTTGAAAAAGGTGCAGTTCCAGAACATACTGAAAGTGAGCAGCAGAGTGACTGAAAAACCAAATGAAGATAGAAGCTGGAATCAAGAAAGGATTCAGAGGGAATTCAGAGATCTGCTTGAGGGAAATGGACAGCTAGATGGAGCATGCAAAATGCAGATTGGCACACGTGTGAGGCCACTTAAGTTACCTAAGATGAAGGTACCATTAGCTTTATTACGGCCTCTGAAAGAAGAACTGCAGCGTATGCAACGGTGGGGGATTATACAGCCAGTAGAGAAATGCACAGACTGCATATGCAATCTAATGACGATCAGAAAACCATCAGAGAAACAAAGTATATGCATAGATCTAAAGCCCTTAAATAAAGCAATGAGAAGAAGCCACTTTCCATTATCCGCTGTAGAAGATATCCTGCCAGATCTGTCACTAGCAAGACTATTCCCTGTCTGTGATGCCAAAAATGGATTCCAGCATATTGAGCTGAATGAAAAACCCAGTTATTTGACAACATTTGCTGCACCCTTTGGTCCTCCATTGCTAGCTCTATTGCTAGCTAAGAATGCCAATGGGTCCTGCTGTTGAAATGTTCCAAAACAGACTAATGCAAACCTGGGGGGGGGGGGGGGCTTACAGAAATCTGTGCACTAGCTGATGATGTGTTGATACTGGGAGAGGCTGATGACCTAAAGCGAGCACGCCAGGCCCATAACTCATAGCATTCCTGAAAACATGCAGAGAATGACCGCTCCCCACATTAAATGGGAGCGGCCTTTGCATGGTCGTGCGCAGCACCGGGGATCCTATGCAGCACCATTAGCACAGGCTTGGCTTCGCCTTCCCCAGGTGGGATACCTGGAGGTCTCTGCCTACCTCAGCCAGTTGCCCAATCCTGCCTGGGGAGGCATTGCCAAGGTGATCAGGCCAGGTAGGGGGAGGGACCACCCTGCCCATACAATAGGGATGGATCTTACCTGGGAATGAGTTGTTATTTCACACAGGGGCTCCCCAGGGTTTTGGGGGACTCCGCCTGTCCACGCAAAAGAAGATCAAACTCAACAGAGGTAAACTCTGAGGGTCACAGAGGTACCATTTTTTGACCATTTCCTGATCTCCAAGGGCTTGAAGGTACATCTGGAAAAAGTAAGACCTATTTGAAGCATGCCAAGCCCCAGATGTCAAGAGATTACTAGGAATGACTAGCTACTTCAGTTTTTGTAAACACGTCTCAGAGAACAGGGAGGCCCCGAAACTGTTAACACATTGAAAGAAACCTTGGGAGTGAACAGATGGGGATTTTGAATACGTCACTTCGTCACCAGGGTATTTTCAAAGTAATAGCAAGGTAGAATCAGCAGTGAAAGCAGCTAAGAAATTCTTGGAAAGGGCAAAAGCAGCAGAGCAGAACCATATCTAGTACTACTAAATCAACAGAACACCCCATTCAAGGTCTAGGTTCAAGACCAGCACATGAGAAGATGGCTCAAAGAACCAAGTCACTGGCCAGCAAGTGGCAAGCTGCTGGAGCCAGGATTCACAGGGGTGCCCGTTGGTGAAAAGAGGAGGCAGCAGCAACAGAGGCTGGTGCTATATTACAACCAGTTGTCCAGAGATCTTCCATGCCTAGACCCAAGGGTCACAGTAATGCTCTCACCCCTAACAAAACAGGACAAATTCAGGCACAAAGCAACAAGAATAACCACAATCATATCTTTCTTTTTTTTGGCAATCACTCGTCGCCGTGTAAGATTGTCTTCCATAAATACGGTTTTAACAGTGAGTCCGTAAGTGAGTGTGGAGGTCAATTATGGATCCACACATCCTTCCACACTGGGGACATAGGTTTCTGGGCAGGAGTTGATAATGGTGAGGGTTTGCCAAACGTGCCTTCATCTTAGCACATTTCTTCCTTTCATCCTGAATGTGAGCGTCTTCAAAGCCCATGATACCTTTGGTAAAGGCTGTTCTCCAATTGGAGCACTCGCAGGCCAGTGTTTCCCAGTTGTCGGTGTTTATTTAGATTTGCCTTGAGAGAGTCTTTAGACCTCTTTTGTTGCTCACCAGCATTACGCTTTCCATTTTTAAGTTTGGAATAGAGTAGTTGCTTTGGAAGACGATCATCAGGCATCCGCACAACACGACCAGTCCAACGAAGTTGATGTTGAAGAATATAAGGTACAGATGGCCAATACTGAGACGTAACAGAAGACATCCAAGGAAAACCACACAAGCATCAGGTGATATCATGACGGTCAACAAGAGACAAGCATTTGACCAGCAGAGGGTCCAGCCTGAGAAGACATACAACGACTCTTTGTCTGTTACTGTCTATGGAAGGGACACATCAGAGGGTAGTCTAGTGGGGAGATGTAGGCAAGATGACATTAGTGACATACCCTGAGCTTAGAGTGGAGCAGACTAAAAGAAGGCAACTGAAGGATGCCATCACTGACCCAACTTATCCTCAAAGTGAGTGAGTTGTTAATGACCGCTCCCCACATAAAACGGGGGCGCCCTTTGCGTGGACGCGTGCAGCCCCTGGATCTGGAGCGGCTCCATCAGCATAGGCTTGGCTTCGCCTTCCCTCAGGTGGGATACCTGGAGGTCTCCGCCTACCTCAGTCAGTTTTCCAGTCCCGCCTGGGGGAAGCATTGCCAAGGAGACCAGGCCAGGTAGGGGAGGGATTACCTGCCCACACAATAGAGGGAGGATCTTACCTGGGAATCCTCACTTGGCTCCTGAGCTTCTCCCACCCTACCCACCCTCAGTTAATGTCTTATTTTGCAGGTTAACTTTTCTTCACAGGTATGCGGGTGCTGCTACGTCAAGGTCGCTGTTAAAGGGCCGGAAAGGAATTCCCCTGCATTGGCAGGTTTTGCCTTTCCCGTAGCAAAACGTCACAACTTTGGCGGTATCAGGCCTTGGGCGGAATCCTTTAGTCCATCTTCCTCTTTGCAGCAGCGATACCAGGGTTCCACATTAAAGGGGTTTCTGAAGGGAGGCTTTGACCGTACGCTGAGAGGTCGTCATTGCTCTCCCCGGCGCCGGCGCCGGCGTAACGGGGGCGGCTATCTCTGCTTGAACATATGTTCTCCAGAGCCGCTGCCCCCCCCCCACTGGATAACCCTGCTACTCCCTAGGTCCCCGGCTGCGGACTGGGGAGGGATAACGCCCAATGCCTGAGCCAAGGTCTACCCATATTTGAAATTTAATAAAGTTGTGGCCAATTTAATCCCATAGCACGTTGTCTTGAGTCATTATTCCACATGACGGTGGGGGGCACCTGGGATCTAGGGGACTCCACCTGTGCATGCAAAAGACCTGTACACATTGAAGACTATGTTAGTGTTCAGTTTCATTCCTTTAAATGAGAAGGAATGTGAAAGAATTAATAGATCCAGCCCGAGTTGCTTTAGCTTCCTGAGATGAACAAGGAAGTTCCTTCTGGCCTGAGGAGAGCTTGGTAAGGCTTAAAAGTTTGTTTATATAGCAGAGCCTTTCTGATTCTGCAAGGGGCTATATGAGAATCTTTGAAACACCCCCTCCTCCTGACCTAATTATGTTTTTATTTGGTGCTTTCTGAAACCTGGTCACACAGATTTCATTATCTGCTCTTATTCACTGGTGATATATTCCTGTAATAACGTTTGCTAAATTAGAATTGTATTAGGTCTGCTTCTCCCTTTACATTCATCCTGATTAAGATTCAATTCACTATATTTAGCCAGTGACCCAAACGAGAAAATGTGAAGAATCTTTTTCAAAGAGGTTGGCTTTCAGATTTGAGCAGCCAAGGTGGGAGTAAGGAATTCTGGGTAGGAGGCAAGAGAAGACAAATACCCCAGTGTGCTCAAGTCACATTATTACACCAGACCAAAGGTGTAACTTTCAGGGCATTTTGAAACTGAGTCTCATGGTCTGACGCCAAACTTAGTCTGTGACCCAGGCTCACAGGCCCTTTTCGAGCACCGAACTGGGATGTGCTACATTAGCCCCTATGGTTGGCATCCTGATTGTCTAGTGCTTCTGCAAGCATAGACGGAACATTTTAAAAACATGTATAAACAGACACCATCCTTGCAATATATCCTTTCTCTAAGGATTATGAACTGCAAGCACTATTGTGTACAGATGAGTGTTGGAAAAAATGGAAGCCATGCATCTAGTTCCCACTTCCCCTTGTCTAGTGTAATAATAAATAATAATAATAAATTTTATTTGTATCCCGCTCTCCCCAGCCAAAAGCCAGGCTCAGAGCGGCTAACATCATATAAATAAGACAATATGCATAATACAATATACAATATGCAAATAAAATAACATTCAACATGCATTAAAATAATATAGAATAATATTAAACATCAGCATTTCAAAATTAAACAGAAATCCACTCAACAATTACAATAAGTAATTTCTAAACTACAATCAATAAAACAACAGCAAACTACAGTGCACAACATAATACAATACAAAATAAGAAGCAGACACTACACAATGGCACCCAGGGAAATGCAGAACATTGCAGCATCAAGGAAGTGGGAGGTTGCATTAACTTTTTGGGGGGTAGATACAGGCCTACTTTTCTCAGTGGTTGCCGAGGGTATATGTTTAGGGAAGCTTTTAATGTCTGATAGGTTATTGTATTTTAGTGTTTTGTTGGAAGCCGCCCAGAGTGGCTGGGAAAACCCAGCCAGATGGGCGGGGTATAAATTACTATTATTATTATTATTATTATTATTATTATTATTATATCAAAGCGTGTTCTCCAATAAATGAGAGCACGTGTTGCGGTGTGGGCCGCTGGGCCAGCCCTCTTGTTGCCAGGCAGGTTAATAGTTGTTGCCTGGCATTGTGATTGGATAACCGGGTTGCTGGGGCAAATTGTATGTTGCAAATTGGGTGGGTGGGACCATAGTCTTTAAATATTGGTGCACTCTGGTTTCTCTTTCTCTTTGCAGAGTGCATCGGATCACCCGCCCGCCCGCCCTCTTTTCCAGTTGACCTTGCTTTGCCTTGCCTGTCATGGGGTCGTCTGCCTTGGCGCAGGGGCCTAGTAGGAATTTTGCCATTTGGTGATTGGCTGGGCCATTTGGTTTTTGCCTACTACTCAGCAATTCGTCACAACTTGTAAGGTTGCGGTTAGGCATTGGTTATAATATGCTGGTGGTGGAGGGGTCAGGATAGGCTGTGCCTGCCCCTCC